GGGGGGAGTAGAAATATTCCTAGTTGCTTCATGTTACAGAAACCAGGATAAGCTCCGGCCTGGTGGGCGCCTTGGTTCATATGCAGACTTTACCTCCTTATAAACAGTATAATCATGGCACAGACACTATTACTGGATTTATCGGGACTATACATTTGCCAGACTAAGTTTAATTTTTGATAAGTATATGCTAATGAGGAGATAAAATAACACAGAAGTAAACAGAAATAATCCAATAAACTTTGCTTAAGTTATAGAGCCAAGAACATGACACAATCTGCCACATTCTTTACAAAGATACAGCATCCAAGGCAATGAATTCATATTTTTGGCTTTTTGCTTCCTCCCTGTAGTGTTAAAAATATGCAGTGATGATTTAATAAACCAAACAGATCTAAACATGTTAAAAAAGAAAGCTCTTTTGTGTTGTAAGACATACCTGCTATATTCATTAGAAACCATCCGCTTAGATGGTAAACCATCAGTTGTGTTAGACTTTCTTTTGACCCCGGAGAGTTCGTCATCTCTCCAACTCTTTTTTCTGTTTAACAATATAGAATAAATGTCACAAGATAGCTTTTTGACAATAAAATTTAGCTTGTAAAAAATAGTCTCCTTCGCAGCTGTTATTAGGGTTGTCACAGCTAAAAACAAGTTTGTTTTGAAACACTGTGGCTACATAACCGGCAGCTGGACGGGTGTTTTTAAAATACCCCTGTCTGGCAATGACAATAAGACAACGTAAAAAAAAAAGTTATGACAGGCGACCCCAAGAGGAATCAAACCTGGGTTGCCGGCATGGCAAGTGATACCCATGACCACTGCACCGAGGCAACCGGCCGGCAGCTTTTGGAATTTTTAAAGTATTTATAGAGTTACCCTTAGCAATATTGAAAGCTAACCGGAGTGCTATTCAGGCTAATCCGAGTGCTTTTTAGGCTAACCGAAGTGCTATTTAAACGTTTTGACTGCCGGTCATTTTATAATAGTCTACGTTATAAATCCCGGTATACCGTGGAAATAGTGAAGTTTTCAGCTATATAAACAAGAATTTGATATTATTAACTGAAATTTTAAAAAAAATAATTTTGACTACCGGAAACGGAGTATTTTGAAAAACCTGTCCGGCTGCCGGACTTAAAGACACAGCGGTTTCGAAAACCTCACCTCTCAGCTGCTTCCTGTTCATCAAACTCAGATCCATAACCTTCACCGAAGTCAATCTTAAAGAGAAAGATGTTCCAATTTTTTACATGGTTAGTGGCAGGAGACAACTATCCCTTGAATTCTCACAGAATAATTCGCTTGAAATCCTTGCCTGTGCTAAATCTCCCCTCACGTCCGCCATGTTGTTTTTCGGCGAAACAGCGCTGACTTGAGACTTGAGGACTCCGGACTCTTGCTCATTCCCAGATTCCTAATTCTTAAGACGACGCGAGGGAAACAAAGACCCCGGGAACTAAGCTTCTAAATAAATCTCTATAGGAAATCTAGACGCCAAAATCTGCCTACAAACAAGGTTCAGTCACCATCTCCAGAATCAAGGTTTCCAAGAGAACATCCGAGAAGAAGAAATGGGTCTCTCAAGTTGGTTTCGTGACCTGGGAGTTCCGTGGAAAATTTCAGTCGGAATTCTTGGTGGTGTTGCCGCAGTCACAAGTGCCTATGGACTGTACACATTTTATGCTCACCTCCAAGATCGCAAAGACGAATCTTTCGACGGCGAAACAGCTGGGGAAACATCGGAGAAAAAGATTCTAGTTTTGGGATTAGAAGGCGCCGGGAAGAGCACTTTCCTTGCAGCCTTGGCACAGCACGATAGCCCGATTACTTCAGAGCGGGAAGCCACTAAGCCTACCGAAGGTTTTCATGTTGTTTGTGTGTCGACTGAAGGAATCAGCCTAAATATTTGGGAGAGTGAGTTTCATTCCTTCATCTTTAATATTTAAGCTTATATATATTTGTATGGTGGGTTTGAAGGCTGATTTCGTGCATCGGCCTGTATTTGCCTGACAAAAAAGGTGTTGGTCTTGCCTGGATCACGAGCGAGTATTTTCAATTATACACCATGTGAACTTTAACTGTATTGTCTCAGAGACAAGTGAAATTTTAAACATGCCTTTCTTCTTTTGCGCCATTACATTAAGCTTATTACTTATTTATATTGTATATGGCTTTAGTTATATGATATAAGCCATAGATGGTTCAAAATTCAAAGGTACACACCCTGGCCCTACACATGCGGGAGGTATTAGTAGCTGGAAAAATATCAAATTGTCAACAGTTAAATGTCCAGTAATCCAGTCTAGATTTCTGTCAGTTTGATATTATTTCAGTGAATCCTAAAGATCAGGGAGCGGTTGAAAAGCTCGAAATGCACAGGAGTTTAAGGGAGCCTCTTAGTTAGTTTTAATAATTGTTAGTTGGGAATGAGGGGGCATTGGGACCTGCTGGGAACGGGAAGACCACTCAAAATGTATTTGAAAATAGATAAACTGCCATAAAATCACTGAAAACCGAAAACCGCGGACGGCATAAATTTATTTATGATTAGAACTGCAAATTCACAACCTTTAATCCACCAAGCTTGATGTGTACTTCTCCTTCTGTTAGGATCAACTGAAGACTTTTTCATTTAAAACTCATTGCTGTACCTTTTTAGGTTATCATTAACTCCTCGACTGCTAGATTTTCCCCAGAAACACTGATTAATTGATTGAGTTTTGCACTCAATGAGGTTTGTCCACAGCATTCACTCTCGTGTTCATGCTTAAAGAACAAGCTCAAAAAATATCAGTGTTGTTGACTTCTCTGAGTGAGGATAACCAGCATGGGTAGTTTAATGGCAAAATGGACCGGAATTGGATGTGTATTAAAAGCACATGCACTTGAGTGTTGATCAATACCCTCGATTGACCTGCAATTGATCCTCGAGCAACACCTCAATCAACACTTGATTGACACCCTAATCGATACTCAGTCAACACTCGGTCAGCACTCGATTCACATCTTTATTGACACTCAATCAACACTTGATCAACAGCTGGTCGATAGTCAGCCATGAGGAATGACTCACACGTCGATCAAAAATTAGTCAACTCTCGACCCACTGTCGACCAAGATGTTGATCCTGTATTGAGTGTCAATGGAGATGTCGATGGAGTGTCACGGGAGTATCGATCAAGGGTGTTGATCAAGGGTATCGTTTGACACTCAATTGTGGATGTCTTTAGATCTTGATCATGATTTACATCATGGTCAGGATTTAGATCACAATCCCCAAAATTTAGCTGCAATGCAGGACTGGCTTGGAGCATCAACTTTTATCTATAAGACACACCATGACATGAACTTACACAGTTTGACCAAGGTGAAGTAACACAAATAGCCAATACTGAAAAACTGCGTTTTCATCACCAAACACTGAAAATTGCAACAGCCATCAAAAAACTGAAAAAAGGAATATTTTAAGTGTAAAATTGGAAAACCAAAAACCCCATTTTCCCCTCAGAAATGGATTGGGACTAAATTTCAGAGCAATCCAGCGACTTAGGGTTGGATTCAGTGCAGGTTATGTGAAAAATCTTTGGCATGGATATTTGCTTTTTTGTCTGCAACCCTACCTGTCCTGTAAAATTTTGACATTGGAGAATTTTCACCACCCCTGGTCAGTTCTCTCCTTATGCAAGATAGAGCAATCAATCCTATTCCCATACATTTACATCTACCTCGGCCATTCTATAACTTGGCTGTTATGACTTAAAATATTTCTTTTTCTTGTTTACCAGTTGGAGGAAAGTTTCAATCCTACTGGCCCAACTTTCTCACAGATGTCAGTGTCATTGTGTATGCCATTGACAGTAGTGCTTCTGAAAGATTTGATGAGTCCAAGAATGCCCTGTTAGGAGTTCTCTCAGAAGACACCCTTAAGGGAGTCCCCCTGCTATTGCTTGCTTGCAAACAAGATGCAGAAGGTGCTAAACCGTCAGAGGATATAGCATCAATCTTTGGACTTCAGGAACTGTGTTCTACCCATAAAGTTCGAATTGCTGCTATTGAAATCTTAGGTAATGGGGAGGCTCGTGGAGTACAAGAGGCCAAGGAACTCATCTTAAACTTTTGTGCACAAAAATAGCTCTAATTATTCTTTCCCTTGAAGGTTCTTCATGGCACAGTCTTTTGTATATATATATAGTATGTACTACTGGTACCTTGTAGAATTTATTTCAAGTTAACATGTGCAGCTATATTAACTGTGATGTAAATACTTATTATAATAGTTACATTTCAATGAAAGTGGACTCTTATCCAGTAGGTCAGAGAAGTAGCTGCAGACTTCGATTATTTTGCTAACCAGACTGGTCTCTGGAAACGAGAGACCTATGATTAAGGATGGAGAGGGCTTACTGTCATTTAGCTTTAAGAGGAGCTGCACAAAGCACAATCTGGTTATCTGTGAAAGAACATCCCAGACAAAAATTTGCTTCAATCATTACATCTGATTCACTGTCTCATTTGCAGGGGTTTCATTAAGGGCTGGGCATCAGG